CATTTCAGACCTTTACGGTTTTTTTAACTTACCTCTGTTCCTCCAACAAACACCAACCCCCCTCACCAACTTCGAGTTTCTTTCCGGCTCCCTTTCCCAATATTAGTACCACCCACTTCTCTGGCTCTTTTTTCCTCATTATGGACTTTCCAATTTCGTATTCAAAGTCAAACACTAGCAATCTGGTTGGTCCATAACTACATTTGTCCCATATCCAGAGTCTTTTTGCAAAATCTTTATTATATCACAAAAGCTCATTGTATTCTCTCCTGTCCTCTAACAGATAAATTCCATAAAGATGGAAAAGAAACCTGATTGGTACCTCCTAGTTGGCAACTCAACCTGCACCACCTGGCTATCTTGATATCCTTTACATCTGTGAATCAGCAAGATGGTTTCCACGTCTTGAACTCCCTATCTCAGCTGGCAGTGGTCAAATATGGCATTACAGATGACCACGGTACCAGTGTTCATACCTTTTCTGTTCTCGATGCAATTGCCAGTATTTCTATCTTGGAGGTGGAAACTCAAATTGTTGCTGTCACTCTTCAATTGACCTTCCAAATACAAGAAATCTACCCCACAGTTGCTACAAACAAAATGGACAAGAAGAAACTTGTTAGTCATCTCACTGCAGTATGGGGAAAATTGCAAGCCCTCTCCAATATGTATGCAGAGCAAAGGGGCTGGAAGTCAAACTTCTATAGAAGAAAGTTACCAGAAATACCTGGGGATGTAGCTTACTACTCTTTAAGAGTAGAAATATTCTACAACATATACTAATTCTGCATGGCAAAGCAGATAAAACGAATGAAGAAGTGGCTAGAGGGCCTTAACTCTTTCATGCAGCACTTGGTTCAATACAGTGGGAACACTGACCTCAAAGGTACTGACTTAAACCTGTACCATATTGTGGATGGGTTGTTCAATGTACTACCATTTCTTTTAAGGCTTTATGATAATCCTGGAGCCCAGCTCGTGGATCATGAATGGGTGGAGATATATATGCAAAGCATGTGGGTTACAGAGAATGCAACCCTTGCTCAGGTTCTTAAAAATAGAAACTGCTGTAAGACTCTGGCCCAGGAGATAAAAGGTATCCTTCTTCTCCTCCTATTACAGTATTAACTTAAATAAGAGAAATCAGCCTCAGGATGTCCAGATTTCTCCTTAAGGTAACCTATTGTTCCATTTTGCTGGTATATTCTCATGTCTCTGCCAAAATGCTCTAGGAGCATGCATAAACGAAAATATGCTATGATACTGCAATCTCTCCTACTAGCTATGCAAGAAGAGAACGCTGCAAACTTGGGCCTCAGTTGAAGCACATTTTTTTTCTATTTGAGTTTTTGCAGTAGGAGACTCCAACATCCTGAAACAAATTTCTCTTAACTAAGTTAATACAGTAGGTTCAGTTTTCTACCCTATGACCTAACTATTTCTTTCTACTAGCTTATTGTACTAAAGAGCGCTTTCAGCTTCAACATGCACTGGAGAAACTAACTTTCCTGGCCTCTTGTGTCGACTCCCTGATTTTGTTTGCTCATCCTCTCCATCTTCAAACTGCCTAGTAATATGCTACATCTATTTCTACAATCTCAGGATAGACTTGTACTATAAAATTGCCCAGATCGCAAGACCAGTGGCAGTCTATTTTACAGGTTGCATTTACTGAATGCACTAATTAGTAGTGGGAAGAGGCAGAGAAACTTCTGCAGAAGTTTGAGTCAGAGGATTGTGTGTGTCCACTCCACTCCAAGTGTGAGCTTATCCAGCCCCTGGAGACTAAGCAGGAGGATTGATGAAGCGATATTCCACTAGCAGCATTCACCTATATTAGGGCCTCAAGACTCACCTGCAGTACCTGGTACAATTGGATAACAGCCTTCAACCAACTGGATGGCTGACAATTTTATATAGAGGAAATGAGTGAGAAATGGCACTAGCCCTGGGGGATGCCTATGGGAGAGCAATATTGGGGAAAGATTATTGCACAAAGGGTTTCTCATAACAATCTCACCTATCAGGATCTCAGATTAAAAGCTGCTAGATTCTCTTTGGCCTTAGCACAGGCCCTTTCAAGCACTGTTGAGTGGAAATACATCCTTGCAAGGATTGAATCAGAAGATCAAGAGTACAGACACTCTCCCTTGGGGTATGTCCAATATCCCCTTTTGGCCTTGAGCGATCATATGGGGTTGTTGAAGAAGCAGAATAGAAAACCACATCTGGGCTGAGCTATATTTGAACTTGTATTTGTCCATTTCCCTCTCTTTCATTTATATTCTTTTTTTTTTTATCCTGCCACAGGCTTGAGCCCTACTGTTCAACTTCTCTTTTCTTCCATTTATCCTACCACAGGCCTAAGCCCTCCTGTTCAACTTTTGTTTTTTCCTCATCTCTGAGAACATATGTCAACAATAAATATGTTGAGCTATTTGGATACTCTAGTGGTAGTGACAATGTGTGATGTAAATAACTGTAAAGAGTGTGGACATGATGAGGATTCAGGGATTGACTTCTGATCTGTCAATCCCATGCATTTCATTAGAGACCTGGACAGAGGTGATAGCATCTAATGTCAATCACTGGGAAGTGACACAGAACCAGGAAGTGACACACTTGACAACCATAGGCAACCAGAGTCTAAAAAGGGAACACAATCAATTCTCAACCAATTTAGACTAAACAAGATCATAACAATTGAGAAAGGATAGGAGAGCTAGTCTATGCCAGAATAGTAAACACAAAAGAAAAATTTTCTACTAAAGAATGCCCAATAAAGAGAGAAAATATACTAAAAACTACAAGAAGGAAAAGAGAACAAACTAAGGTACAGGAGTATCTAAAACTATTTATAAAATCGATGGAGGTAATCTTCTATTGGTAGAGATAATATAGAAACTAATTGTTAACCATGGTTAAAGTTTATAAAGTACAGAAATAGTTAAAGAAACTGTTAATTAAACAGTAAAACTAGTAAAATATTGGTATGAGTCTCAAAGGCTAAGAGAGACAATTCTATGGCCAATATATAAAATATAGGTTCAGTTCAAGGTCTGTTCACTTAGGATATCTGAATTGGTTAGAATTTGATATTTTTAAGTAGTAGCAGCACTATTTGCATTATATTCTTTATCAGTAACTTTACTGTAAGTTTTATTGTAAATTTTGTAGGTGTTAATTATCTATGTACTCCAAATTGCTTACATACTATTATATAGCGATTGTTTACCTTTCTTGTAAAGAAATCTTTATTTGGATGCTGTTTTAGGAAAATGATTACACTTTCCAGTTGCTACAAATCAGGTTGTATAACTCTCAGACTTTTGTGGCTGATAGAGAAGGCTCTGAGCTTTTTGAAATATATTTGGATTTAAATTTGGAGCAATATTAGACCTATCTTTCTCTTTTTCTCAAAGCAGGTTTGGTTGACATGCAAACTAAATTTGGTCTAAACTCAAAACAAAAAAAACACACAAGTGTAGTCATTTTCTCAAAACAGCACCCATTTGTT